CCGTCCCGGCTGGCCTGGCCCTGCCTGAACTTCCCTCACAGCCCTGCACCCAAGTGCCACCACCAGGGCAGGAGGGGGAGTGAGCAGAGCTGCTGAGTAGCATCCCCACCTTTCCTCAAGGGCTGGGCGAGGGCTGGACGGTGTCTCCAGGTGCACTCAAGGTGTGTGACTCCCACGAGATGGTCCCTGAAAACCAAAGCACCATGGCCCAGGTTTCTTGCAGGAATTGGCTCCGTTTTGTTGTTATTGTTGTTATAATTTGTGCTCCCTGTGGGTCATAGCTGACCCTCGGGTTTATTAGAAGACAGCCACCAGGCCTTTCTTCCTGGTGCCTCTGGGTGGACTTGAACAGCCAGCCTTTGACTTAAAGCTCGGGATTCACTATGCACGCAGCCCAAACGAACAACAGCAAGGCAACCCAACAGCCATCCGCGTCACTTCTGGCTCCTGAGGACAGAAGAGAGCTGGTCCCCAGGGTCTCTGAGGCTGTAACTTCTCACGTGAACGGCCTGCCTTGTCTTTCTCCCTCTGGGAAGCAGGTGCATGCCAGCTGCTGACCTTCTGGTTAGCAGCCCAGCACCTGACCCGCAGCACCACCATGGCTCTGTTAGCACCACCAGAAGCCTCATGTGTGTTGTTGTGTACCACTAAGTCGGTTCCAGCTCACAGTGACCCCGCAGGACAGAGTGGACCTGCCCTAAGCTGCGCTCCTTCTCCCAGGGAACGTCCCTCAGGTTGGGTCAGTGAGAGTGACCGAGAGTGCTGGTTTGTGTCCGCAGGTCAAGGCTGGCCTGGGGATCAACGTCATTGGCCTGGTGATCGTTATGGTAGCCATCAACACGTGGGGAGTGAGCCTCTTCGACCTGGACACCTTCCCAGCCTGGGCGAGCGTCGGCAACATCACCGGCCAGCTCTAACAGGAGCGGGCGGCCTTGCTCAGCTGTGGAGCTGCCAGCACCCGCCCGGCAGAATCTGAACCCCAGACCACAGAACCAGCAGGAGCCAAGCCCATGCCGGGCCTGAGACACCCCGTCCAGGCCCCCAGGCAGAAGACAAGCCACCTCCACCCCGAGTGACGGGCAGGGGCCCTCCTGCACCACGCTCCCCGGGGACATCAGTGTCTTCTTCCCTGACCTGCTCCTTGTCACCACCTCACGGGAAAACCTAGCCTCGCCCCCGCCTTTCTGTCCTGCCCCTCCACCGACTCTCTCAGCGGCCCTCCAAGGCTGGCAGGCCTCACAAAACCAAACCAAACCCAAACCAACCCTTGGCCGACTCCTGGCGATGCCCCATAATAGGGTTCTACTGTCATCTGGACAGAAGCCGACGGCCCAGTGATGCAGGCTGGACTCGGAGCTCTGACTCTTGTTTACTTTTACTTTTACAGGCAGGTGGAAACCATTGGCACCCCCTGGGGACCTGCAGGTCCCACCAGGCACTGGGATGGTCAACACTGTTCTAGGGGTTAGAGGAGAAATCCACAGCCCCCACTCCCCACCCCACCCCCCACCACACACACACCTGTGCACAGAGGACGCCTCTCTCGGCAGCTCTCTCCTGTGTCCAGCCTAAGTGCTCGCCGCAGGACACCAGGGCTCTAGTACGATGGTTTGGACCCCGCTCTCGGCATCTCCCTTCGGATCGAAGGGTGGCGTTGTCCCAGTGAAGTGTCAGGAGGGAGGACAAACATTCACACTGTAAATAAGGCCACAGCAGTTATTATTTCTATCAGACTTGATCTCGAGAAGATCAAGTCTGAACAAGTATCTGCCTTCTTGTCACTAAATCCCTTGAGGGGAGGGGGACGTATGTCTCTCAGAGTCACAACGCAGTAAACCAGAAGTGCTTACTAGATCCACTCATGGGCCAATCCCTCCCCCAATCAAGGGCTCCTTATTCCTTCTGAAGACCAAGCTGTTCTCCCCATAGCCCTTGCTCCGTGGCGTGGCAACAGCTTGCTTGCTGATTTCTACCTGTTACTTGTCAGCTACATCATGTGGGGGAAAGGGTCCCCCCTGGGCACTGTACTGTCTTAATTGATTTTAAGTTACTGCTGCTGCTTGTGTAGCTTTCCACAATAATTTATCAATAAAATCACCCAGTTCTTCAGGAGTCCACAGTGGTAGGTGCTTTTGTTCCATGCAGCACCGGCGCTTTGGGATGAACCAGGCACTACTAGTGCCTACACCTCAATGCTGGGAGACCAAATGTCCCATCCACCACGGCAGTGAAGGCCCACGAGCCCTGATGAGAGACCAGTGCTTGGTGTCTCACAGCTGGGCTGGTAGGGTCCTTTTGCTTTAAAATGTTGGCGAGAATCGGGGTATTTATTACTAATGTTGCCAGGGTAGCAAAATCATCAAGTTCCTGCCCCCAGCCCCACCCCTGTACATCACAGAACTTAGTCCTTAAGCCACTCTGTCAGACATGAAGACAAAGTGCAGATAATCAATGTGATACTGGGAGCTTAAGTAAGTGAAAAAGAGAAAGAGAAGGGGCTTGGAATCATCTCACCCTTCACAGAACCTGATTTGCCCCGATGAGAAAGTAGTACATGTTCCACCACACCTACTACAGGCGTTTCAAGTCTTTAGTGCCCTCAACTGGCCAACTTGGAAAAAAGCATTCATTGAAGCTTAGTCACCACTTTTCCAGAACCAAGGATCCCAGCCAGACAAGGCTGCCTTCCCAGTGACAGACAATGCTGGGTCCGACTGACAACACCTTGTCATCCGAAAGCCTCCACTGCCGGGTAGTAGCCTCCAGCACTGCTTGGTTTTAATCTTTTTCTATTTTGTTGTCAAGAGTACAGGCAGCAAAATACACAGCCATTCAACAGTCCCCACGTGTACCACCAGGTGACGTGGATTATAATTTTAGTTATACCACCAGCTCACGCTCCTTCCTGGAGTTGTTCCTCCCTCATTAAGTCAATGATCCCTACGCTTCCTATCTAATTGTTTGAGTTGCTCTTGTCAGTTTGATCCCATGGAGACGGTTCTTAAATGAGCATAATTCTCAAGGTTGCGTTCTTTTAACTAATTAAGCTAAACCACTGTTTGGTTTTAAGAAAACGTCCAGGGATGGTTTTGATTTAAAGCTTACAGATGATCTCAGACTAACCGTTTTCAGAACGCATCCTGAAAGCCTGTGTGGCTCCGGAAAGCCTAGCATTCCCAAGAACTTGAAATTCTGTTTTGCACTCTTGGATCAGGATTCCTCTACAGAATCTTTGATCAACATGTTCAGTAATGGTAGCCAGGCACCAGAGAGGATCTCTGGTCTCGGGCAGCGGAAGCAGAGGTTCGCACACTCCATTTCCTCTTCCCATCCCTGTCTCTGCTCCAGGTAGAGAGACCAGTTGTCATGGTCATGCCTCGGATGGCTGCTTGCAAGCTTTTAAAACCCCAGGCACGACACCACAAACAAGAAGGGCGAACAGGAACATTATTAGGCCAATTGACTGGATGTCCCATGAAACCATGACCCCAAACCTCCAAACAAAGGAATCAAATCCCACAAAGTGGTTGTACTTCCACAGCTACTCGTGTGTGTGTGTGTGTGTGTGTGTGTGTGTGTTGTAAATACCTACCACTCAGCTTTGCCAATTCACCTTTTTATAACACTGACGATGATTGGCTAGGCAACTCCACCCTTAATCAATAACCACTCTTAATGCTTCTTGTTTTTTGCAAGTGTCTTGGCACTTGGTGCCTCTCCTCTGCTGGCACAGTTCTGTGGAGGGAAGGGCTGCGGGAGGCTGTGCTCTGCTCACAGATGGTGACGACACAGAGGGCAGAGACGGACAGAGTTCCATCTTATCCTGGAACCAACACCTGCTTTAGGTGTGCTTGGCCCAAGTTGGCGTTGGCTTACGTCCCCCAAAAGAACCTGGCTTATACTCTTTTACATTAACATGTGCATGTCATACCCCACCTTTGAATACATTTTTAAAATAGCTAATGTTCCTTCCAAGGTTGGAATGGATCCCCCTATCGCTAGCTAAAAACCAACCAGGGTTGGCATTGCATGTAGTATCTCTGAACGCTAGAGTTGCTTTCCGTGTAGAAGAGGGCTCCAGCCACTACCAGACAGGGACCCAAGATGGACCAAATGCCCATGAAGCTTGCCCAGGCCACCGTCCCCAGACTGGAGTGGTGCAGAATGCCTCCCTGGTTCACAGGGCACCTTTCTCTCCCCAATCCTGTACAGTGTGTGTGTGAGGATGCCACCTTCCATGAGGCCTCACGCACAAGCAGTGACTCATGCAGATCAGCCGCCCTGCCCTGTCCACTTCCCAGGAGACCACGTGGCTCTGGCCTCCTGTCTCTTCCCCAGGCCTGGCACCCCTTCTCCTTGAGCCCGGTTTCGGACAAGTTCCAACCTGAATATCGAAGGCTCGCCAACTCCCTATTAGGACCAGGCAGGCCCTGGAAATAGTTTCCCTTTCCCACCTCTTCCTGCCCACAGGCAGGGCCTCTGGAGTCAGAGGGGAAAAAGGGGCTCATTCATCCACTCATGCCTTGGGAGTGATGGATGCGCCACCCAAGGCGGGACGCTTCTGAAAAGCCCCATTCCCTCCGGGACAGTCGAGTCCCTTGAGTAAACGAGCAATGCAGGGAGAGCCCAGACACGGCGACTGCAGCAGAGAAGCAAACACCAGCAACGTCTCTGGGGGCTGAGAGAAAGCCAGGAACCTAGTCATCGAGTCGACAGTCACACACGTAAAATAGGGGCCTTGAGTTCAGAAAAGAAAGGGAAATTGTGCCTCTCCCTCAGAAGCCAGCAGCTGCGTGAAACAAGGCGGAGGGAAGACTCATGGACGTCCCCTCCTGGAACACGGGCCTTGCCCCCTTTCCAACGCTGCACACAAAGTTGTGGTTTTGCTTGCCCTTTGTTCTCCTTTGGGGGCGGGGAGGTGGGTTCACTTAGAGAGCTTTTTCCCTTCCAACTTTTCATTGTTGAGTTGGGTAAAGGTTTACAGGGCAGCTCGGTCTCCCGTTCTTCAACAATTCGCACACATGTTGCATGTCATGGATTGTGAGCTCTACAATGTAGCACTGATCCACGTCTTCCAGTTTTCCTGTTGTCATTTCTTCCGTTTGCAGCCATTCTGAACTGTGTCCTTGAGTCAATGTTGCCCTTGGGGTCCCAAGTGGTTGACTATTCTAAGACAAGCTTACAATAGTATTATTGTTCCCTTTATAGGCTTTTTTTTGGCTGAAAATTAGGGTGAACTCATTTCTACACCTGAAGGGTGACTAAAGGCCATAACCTTGGGGGTACCACAAGTGTCTACGCAGCCATTAAGTCCAGTCGCTATGATTTTTTTATTCCACATTTTCTCCCCGTCTATCCTGAACCTTCTAGCAGGTCCTTTTCCGAACAGCTAGGCACCACCTAGTTCTCCTGGTCTTGGGATTGTGGAGACTGCCGTTCACACTGGTCCATATAGTCCGCTGGACTGGTTATTCCCATGGCTCTTCACCTACTTCACTCGTCTTCCCTCCAGGCAGGGAACTGCATCTTGCCTGGCTCTACCCACAGCTTCTCAAATTCAGTGTTCAGTAACCAGTCCTCCCTTTCACAGGCAGGTGCTGCAAAACTGTTCTTAAAGCCCACCAACAGCTCATTCATCCAAATGTTTTAAATGTTTTTAAATGGCAAAGTGCCGTGTGTGGACTGGCATCTGATAGTCACAGGACAAGTTGCAAAGCTGCATGCCACCCAGCACAGCCGGGATATTTCCCAGGATGCCCTGAAGGGGGTATGATGTCTACGCCACACTTCACAGAGCCAATGGGCTCAGAGACCCCCAGTTTCCCTGGAGGGCCGCCTGGACAGGGCAGGGTTGCTGGCTATGCGTGAGATCTGCAGACATCACTCATAGGAAGCACTCACTTTATTTTAACGTCACTTTAACATCGCATGATCGGTCATATCACATCTCCCTCCCCAAAAAAAGTCTCTAAACTTATCGGTGAAACTGCCCAGCAAGGTTCTTGAAGCCACCCCCCCAGTGAGCTAAGCTGGCTGTTGTTAAGTGCCACCGAGTCAGCTCCGTCCTATGCCCCAGACTCTGCACGGTCCTGCCCATCCTCACAACTGCTGCTGTGCCCGAGCCCGCTGATGCAGGCACCCGAGAAACGGGTTACCCTTATGCAAATCCCACCACTAGGACCTTATCCTAGAGAGCTCCCGAGACCTGCAGAGACAGGCTCGATGATGTCAAAGTCAAGGTTATCTCAGCAATCCAAAGACAGGAAACGGCCTACAAGTTCATCAGTAGATTTAAATTGTTACATCCATGCCATAGAACCTGAGACCTTATTGCACTGCTACAAAAATCACAGCAGCTCTTTAGTACACAAAAATGCCAAAGTGAGAGATGAGCCAGTCAGGGTGCAAGGTAGCAACGATGCAACACACAACTTTCCTCTAGTTCTTAAATGCTTCCTCCCCCCACTATCCTGATCCCAATTCTACCTTACAAATCTGGCCAGACCAGAGGATGTACACTGGTACAGATAGGAACTCGAAACACAGGGAATCGGGGACAGATGCTCACTTCAGGACCAGTGGTGAGAGTGGTGATACCGGGAGGGTGGAGGGAAGGTGAGGTAGAAAGGGGGAACCGATTACAAGGATCTACATATAACCTCCTCCCTGGGGGATGACCAACAGAAAAGTGAGTGAAGGGAGACGTCGGACAGTGTAAGACATGACAAAATAATAAAAATTATCAAGGGTAAGGGTTCCTGAGGGAGGGGAAAAATGAGCTGATATCAAGGGCTCAAGTAGAAAGCAAATGTTTTGAGAATGACGATGGCCACAAATGTACAAATGTGCTTGACACAGTGGATGTATGTATGGATTGTGATAAGAATTGTATGAGCCCCCAATAAAATGATTTTAAAAAAACAAACAAACAGGTGAGAAAAAAAAAGCCCAAGTGGGAAGCCACAGCCCTGAACTGCTGCTCCATCTCAGTCTGCAGACCTCTGAAGGCCGTGGTTCCATCTTAACCTTCCCCAAAGGATTTTCCAATCTTCTGATTAACACCATGTCAAAAGGCAGTTCAGGCCTCCTTCAGGGACTCAAATGGTGTCCCTGTTCCATGTTGGATCAAGTCTGGAAGGTGGTGGGGGTGGTTTCTCAACAAAATTCTTCTAGGATGGCCCTTGCTGACCTGGAGAGTGAGCAGGTGCATTGTCACAATGGTCAGTCCCTCACTGCAACTGTCCTGCTCTTTTTCTCACAACTGTCCTTTCTTATCATTTCTCCCCAATAACCCCTGTGATCACCCTGAGTTCTTCGAGAAAATCTATCAAGACAACCCCTGAGCAACCCCAAAACAGACCGGGGCTGACCTGTCTTGAGATGCCCTCAGAAGCCAGTGTTAATGGGTCTTGTTTTTTTCAGGTCCTCTAATGAGATTGAAGGGAGCCCGAGTGGAATAGTGGGTATGCATGGTAGGCTGCCAAACACAAGATCAGCAGTTTGAATCTACCGGCTGCTTCACAGGAGAAAGATGAGGCTTTCTGCTCCCATAAAGACTGATCACCTCAGAAACCCAGAGGGAGTTTCGTGCTATTGTGGTTACGATGCGACGAGTCGAACTGACTGAATGGCAGTGAGGACGGGAGCTGAGCCGAGTGGATTACGGAGAGACCCGACTGCGAGCAGGCTTGGTGCGTCAGAAGCCTGGGTGTGTGTGCGCTGGAGCCGGAGCAGCAGCACTGCCACCTGACTGACCTTCACAGCGAGGGAGCATCATTTAAAAACGGCGCTGAGGGGCAGGCGGGGATGTGTGGTGGGTGCCCGCGCACACGCGTGCCCGTCAGGGGACTGGGAACACGCTCGCCTCCAGGGAGAGAACCCTGAGGGCAGGCCTGGGGAGCCCTTTCCACCAACCACACTTGTATTTGACTCCTGGAAACCGTGACCTGTGCAAACACCTTTTATTTGAAGAAAATGCAGGCTGGCGGTCCACGTGACAGATGGCCAGGACCAGATCAGAGGGCAGGAAAAAGCACGTCCAAATGGCAGAGAGGCAGGGCCGGGCTTCCTTCCCGATGGGGCTCGGATTACACACGGAGGCCACACTTCTCTGAGGAGATTCTCGCTCGAGTTGTAACATGAAGATGTTACGTTTTAAAAACCGTGACACGGTCTAAAATTTCCTGGGATGGCTTCTCCATTACTGGTCTCTCGTAGCCCCTGCACTGTGCAGTCCCCTCGAGGGAGCAGAGCCGCCCGGGCACCAGGGGCACCAGGGGCACCAGGGGCCGCCCACAGGCCGTGAACACGCCAAAGACCAGAAGGACCTCTGCTCTCCACGAGCTTGATCCCTGGGCCTAGGAAGTTCCCAGAGCAGTTTCCTAACTCCTGGTAAAATAGCAACGATGGCGCCACCCACCACAATGTAAAACAAATGGGCAATTCACTAGAAACTGGCTTCAAGCCCATAATCTTAATTACTTTGAAACAGCATCATGTAATAGCGAAGAGTTACCAAACACCTGTCACACGGCTGACGCTGTGAAACTGGCATTATGTGTACCTGACCAGTTATACAAAACTCAAGATTTCTTTTGAAAGAAAGGTCGTAGAACTCCCCAAGAACAAAGACGAGGCTGCGAGTTGCAGGTGTGTTTACTGCTCTAGCATCCCCATCCAGTCTGCGGGTCCCCCAAGCAGCTGGAAGAAGGGTGGGAGCGGTGGGGATGTGGGGTCGATACTGGGAGCTCTAACTGGTGCCCCATTTGGGCTGAATGGCAACTCGGGGCCTGAGACAGCGAAAGAAATGGGTCCGAGGTCAAGGTGAGGCAGCCCTTAAGGGTGGGCCCGTCCGTGAGTCCAAGGGCAACGCAGCCGTCTCAGGAGCTAGGTGGCTTCTTCTTGGTGTCCAAGTCCTTCTTAATGTCTTCAAGTTTCTTGGATAGGTTTGGTATCTTTAAAAAGGAAAACAAGATTAATGCCATTTTGCATCTATTGAACCCAAGAAGGTCCCGGCTGATGTGGGTTCTGGTCTGTTCTGACAAGTCAAATACCTTTTAAAAGAAATGTTTTCATTACTACTGCTTTTTATGATAAACCGGTCTCTGTTTGCTGGCTTCCACGGAGCCAGAGCTGGAGCTGCAGCGGCCGCCGTGTGGTGCAGCTCCATGGCTGAGACAGCGCTGTGAGGTTGAACGTTGCCTGATTTCCCATCCCTGACAACACTGACTCACCAGCCTCGGCTATTGGGCAGCATGTTCCTGGGTAAATCTGAACCTGAGCCCCACCAGTGAAGAGAGGGGCAGAGCCTCAGCAAACGACAAGCTGACATAACACACGTTACCAGCAGTGAAACCCACCCCAAACTCCAGCTACCCAGGCCTTTGTGGACAGTCGGCTGACATTGACCCCAAGACAGGCTCCCTCTCTGACTTGCGAATCAGCTGTCATGTCCCCATTCAGCCCCCAGCTAGCCATACTGTGCCACAAAGGTATGACTGCCCAGCCAAGAAAATGACCAACAGGGGCCAGGCACAGTGACCGGAGCCTCGGTTAACATGTCTCCCTACCTTAACCCTTTAACCAAGTGCCAGCCTTCTACTCCCCGCACCCCACCCCTAGGCTTGGGAAGTGTGTCACCTGGTTTCAAGGTCCCCATCTATCCAGTGAGGCTGATAAAACCCCAACCGCACAACCCTCTCCTCCCTAAGCCTGCCCTGGTCCAGCTCCCCACGCGTCTGGGACCTCCCCACAGGGCAGGACAAGGAGGGTAGAGCATCCTGAGCCTGTCCACACTGGTAGGAGGGCTTTGCCCTCTAGTGGTGACGTGGGGGAGACCGCTTCAGTGGAGTCTACACAGATATTTTTGAATATCAGAAAATCTTTCTACAAAGTTCCAGATCTTTCCCACACACCCACGAACATTCTTTTTGCTGAAAGGCATACCTCACTTACCTCGGCAATGACAAATCACCACAAAACAGTTACATGGGGTCAAGGAGACAGCCACTTACGTCATAGTTCTGAGCCAGATACATCCCAACGATGTTGCCAAATGTAAATCCAAGCTGCAAGCACAGAAGGGAAGGGGTTACTCTGGGGTCCGAGTTCTGAGGGCACCCTTACAGTGAGGATCTGGTGTCCAGCCGAGGGCGCTGCAGAAGGGAGAGCCAGTTTTCTTCTATGAAAGAAGCACAGAGACACTCCCCAAAGGTCATTCAAGAGCAGTGAGGCCAAGGTATGAATGGTGACACTGAGCAATAAAGGCACCCCACAATGTCCTCTCACAGAGCCCACAATACTTGGCTGCTAAGTTCTAGAAACTAACTCCTGGTCTCTTGACTAATCAAGCGCGTCTTACAAAGGACTATTTTACCAAGCAGCAGAGTGACTCTACACTCTATAGACTGGACACACGCAGACACAACAGATTTCCAAACCCAGGGAGAATGTTCTATTTGCTTTAAAAAGAGAGAATGTCAGCTCAGCCCCAAGCTGGAAGAACATATTTTAAGAAAAAAATAAATTGTTGTTCCAACTCTCCCACTGCCTGGCTGCACATCTTCAGGCAAGACACTTAACCTCTATGGAACTTGCCCAACGTGCGCTCCCCGACTTAGAAAGCATTACGCCTACAGTGTCCTCGCTCCTACTGCATTATCAATGTGGCATCTACCAACAGGGGATCCGAGACTGGTTCACACTGTAACACGGACAGAGCTGGAAAGCATCATGATGCATGGAAGAAGCCCGTCATGATTGTCTGTACAGGACATGTTCAGAAGGGACAGAGCCCCCGACAGAACACAGACAGTGATGCCAGGGCTGGGGAAAAGGGCACATGAAGGAGTGAAGGCTCATGGGCATGCACTCCTTTGGGGGCCATGAAAGCGTTCTAGACGCTGGTGGCAGCTGCACAGCAGGCACTCTATGGGCTAGACGTGGACTTTAGGGCTGAATTACACTGCATGTGGGTTCCCTCTCAATAAAGCTGTTACAAAAAAAACTAGTACAATCTGTTAAAGAGTCAGCTCCCTGGGATAAAAGGCTGAGTGGACTGCGTCGGGAAAGTGGGGCAGTGTCAGAAGCAGGAAGTGAGGGTGCTCCGACAGAGGGGCTGGCTGGGGACACTACCAGCCAGCAATGCCAACTACAGTTTCTACTGTCAGTCACTCCCAGTTCTTTCCCTATTAGCATGGAATTGCTCTCTGGCTTCAAGAAACGCACAAGCAGAGCCAACTCTAAAGGCACCTGACTGCTCAGACAAGCTGCTCCAGGCCCTGCTCCCCGTGGGAAAGTGGCTGTCACGTGGGTAGGTCAGCTTTTATCTGGGGACAGCTCCTGGTAAAAGCCCCGCATGAACATTGCTGACAAGTCTGGAAGATGACTCATCATATTCCATCTTCTTAAACTACACGGCGAGCCCAGGTGACAGCGCAGAATCTGAAGCAACTTATATTTATTGCCAAGGGGTTTATGAAATCTAAAAATAATTTCGTTTTCTTTACCAAGCACAGCTACAACTCACATTCAAAACAACCCCGCCGAGCAGAGGGACTTCAGTTTGAGGTAAGCCAAGCCAGAAGCAGTGAATGGGAGAGAAGCTGCTACTTTGACTTTCAAGCTTTGTTCCAGAAGCGGTGAGAACATCCATCGCAAAGGGACAGGCCCTTTCTTTGTGCCTTGATCTTCCTCATCCGGGCAGTTTGCCCAGCCACAGTTGCCTCAAGAGGCAGGCTGGAGAACCCTTCCAAGTAAGCTAAAAATAAGTTTCCTTAATCTGCTAGAAAGTGTCACACACACAAACATCACACTAAAGTGTAAGCGGCACTCCCGTGGACACAGAAGGGAGACACCCTGGGGGGTGCCCTGAAGACAGTCCATACACCCAGAGAGAGGAGCCGACTACAGCCCTTAGGAGGACATCGTCCTGTCACTTATTGGCGAGCCAACTGCCTTCAGTCTCACCTCACCGATTTCTCCTGTGCATCTCCCGAGCTTCGGCCAGAGCTGGGTATAAACTCAGTCTACAAAAATTACTAGCATGTCCATTCATCAGCAGGGAGTAATTTGAAGAGGTCACCTTACAAAGGGTGCCACTCACAAGAGCAACACAAACAAGAACGGCTCTGTGAACACAGGAAGCAGACAACGTGCAGGCCTGTAACCTAGAGGAGGAAAACGCTGGAGAAGGGCACGTGAGAACCAGACAAATGGAGAGCTGGGCCCATCCGTGCACAGGCCTCACACCTCAGGAGGGCCTCCTGCAAGGAGCAGGGGCGAGGCTGGAAGGCCAAACAGGGGTATGGGACAGGCCTGAAGGCTGGCCACCCAGAGGCTGGTTAGGATGAAGGAGGCTCGGTTAGCCAGTCTGAAACACAGGCTGTCTGTTGCTGCGGGTGAACAGGAGAAAGGTACCGAGAAAGGCAGGTGAAAGAAAGGTGGGAAGAGGCAGTTCCGGAAGGGCAGTTTCTGTGAGTGTGTGAAGAGGGTGACTAGGCACAGTCAGCAATGGCAGGTGCCAGTGGAGCAGACAAAACCAGGGTATCCAGAGAGATGGGCCCAGAACTTGGGCAGCAGCCCTGTCTTCTGTGGCCCATCAGACCCCAGCTGGGGAGTCACTCTGTCAAAAGGATTGAAAAACGAAGATATTGTTAAGTGCCAGCAGCGTGAACTTGCAATCACAAAGAATGGGGTGGGGGTGGGGGGGCAGTCTAGCCCAAAGGAAATCAAGGTGGAAGAAGGTGCTAAGTACAGCTCTTCAGCTCCCTAAGGGGCTGGCGTGGGGTTAGAAGTGCTCTTTAACTCCAAGGAGAAGCAGGTGAGGAGAGAGGGACGCAGACTGAAAAGTGATGACCTGTGGCAACTTCAGAGCCACAGGTAAGCTGGCAGCCCCCAACCAGTAAAGACGTAATGTTGGCCTAGAGAGCCTTCCAAGTGCAAGTTTACAACTGACACCAGCTAGCAGCACAGCAGGGAAGCGCCCAACAGCTAACCAAAAGGTTAGGAGTTCAAACCCACCAGCTTCTCTGCGGGAGGATGATGTGGCAGTCTACAGCCAAGATTTTCAGCCATGGAAACCTTATCTAGGATTGCTGAGTCAGAATGGCAGGGATTTAGCTTATGTTTTTTACAGCTGGTCCAAAGGCTGCCTAGAAACAAGTTGGGGAAACACAAAGAGAAAAGTTTCCCTAAGAGGGGTAGCGAAGGGCTGGTGGCTTCCGGTACAGCCGATACTTAACTGAGCCAGGGAGATTCTCATACTTCATGAATGATCTCGGGCTCACCACAGCCCTGTAAGAGAGGGCCCATGACCGCCTGGGCTCCGCTGGGAAAACCAAGGGTCCCAGCAGTTGAGTCACGTGTTCCAAGTTTGCACAGCAGGTCAAAATGTGTGTGGCAGGTACCCAGTAAGTTTAGAGAACACAAAACACACACCCATACCCACTGCAGTCAAGTCAATTCCAGTTCACAATGACCCCAGACAGGGTTTCAGTGGCTTTATGGGAGCAGACAGCCTCGTCTTTCTCCCTCTGAGTGGCGGTGGGTTTGACCTACCCATCTTGCAGTGCTTATCCTACAAGGTCACAGGGCTCCTTGATATGGAACATATCATGAAACATGAGCCAAAGATTAGGTGTCTATTTAGAGTCTGAAAGACTTGGTCAGCGTCAGGGGAGGGGCGAGGCAGTGGGTTCAGAGGGGCTGGGGCTGAGGCACAGGAGTCAGACAGAGGGTGGGCAGGGCCAAAACGAGGAGGAAGAGCCACGCCTTGTGTGAAGCTGTCAAAAGAGGTGAAAGATGATGGCGTGACAGGGCTTGGAGGGAGTCCAAATGAAAACAGGGGAGCAGGGTGGTAAGATAGGGCAGCTTCTCAACTGGGGCACCCAGATATTGATTGCCACAGTCCGGGCAGACAACTCTGCCCGGTACGTTCCAAGTGTCAACAATGCCCTGTGGCCACAGACTTCAGGAGGGGAGGGAAGAGAAGTTACCAACCCAACAGGTAGTAGGCTTCCCTTCAAAGGCACAAGGCACCTTAAAATGACCAGTGCTGAGTCACAGTACAGCCAGTGGTCACAGGAGGGGCCCTCGTGGTACTGCCATCAGACGTTGAGTTGGCAGTTTGAGCTCATCATTTGCTCTGAGGGAGAAAGATGGGGCTGTCTGCTCCCATAAAGATTGGGAAGCCTAGGGGGCAGCACTGCTCCACCCTACAGGGTAGGTGGGCGAAGGGTGGGAAAGGAGGCAACAGAATCAGGCGAAAGGTTTTCAAGACTGGAATGATGGGGGAATTGTTCCATCTAGGAGGAATGCCCGCTGAAAGGACTTTATAAAGGGCACAAGCGAGCACGTGGGCTTTCAAACAGGCAGACCGGCCCAGAGGGTTTCCGAGGCTGCCCTCTTGGCCCTGTCTCTCCAAGTGGGTTCCAACCCCTGACCTCTCTTTCAGTCACTGCCCCACTAGGGCTCCTTAGAGAAGGCATTTTGAACTGTGTGGTGGCAGTGAACCTACTAATTTGTGAGTGGCTCATTACTTGCTTTCCCCCTGAGGTCAACGAAAGCCCTCATCTGAGAAGAAGCGAAGTCAACCAACACCTTGCCAAAGTACAGCCCCTCCAGATCCCAGAGCTCATTGCGGGCCGCTGTCTTCGGGGCATCCATGTGTTTGTTTGCTTCTTGGAACAAGTCCAGGAGGCCACGCCCCATTCTCAGGGGTGGGGCCTGAAGTTTCGGGAACATGAATAACCTGTCCGTGCTCCTACTGCTGCTATCAACCAAGTTCAAGGCCAACTCTTGCGCCATTACATGACCACAAGACCATGTGATGACTGGTCAGGGGGTGAAAGCCACAGGCGCACACACACCATCTATACCCATCCTCACTGCTTCTCAGATGATGTGACTCAGAGCACAGACAGTAAGAGGGGCGGGGAAATGTGGACAGTAAGGCCACCGCACTACCAGCAGGTGGGGACACCTACCAGAGAGACCAGCAGGCGCTCCCAGGCAGTGCTGCGTTGGGGAAGGCTTCCACATCTCTTATTTGACAATCCCCAATGCTCAGTCACATCTGCATTTGTTACACACCCATCACCCACTGCCCTCTAGTCAATTACGACCCACTGTCACCCTGCAGGGCAGAGTAGACCTGCTGGTTAGGGTTCCCAAGAATGTGAATGTTTATGGGAGCAGACAGTCTCCTCTTTCTCGCAAGGAGGGGCCGGTGAGTTTGAACTGCCAACTTTGAAGTGAGCTGCCTATCCCTAACCCATGGCATTACCAGGGCTCCTTTCATAACACACGTGTCTATCCCACACCAAATGCATGCCCTCAGGAGGGTGACTGAATCGCTGGCCTTCCAACTGATCAGAGTTACAGGCAGATTGTCTTGCACAGCGGGGCTAACCCAGACCGCTGGCGGTTCATCAGTCAGGATCCGCATGAAGTTTGGCAGAATTACAGGTAGGCTTGGCCTCACAACATTATGGCATTACAACCAGCTGGCTCTTGGTATTGAGTACCTATTACAGTTAGTGAATATCTACCACATACAACATTGCAGCCCAGATGTTGAATCTTATCCTTCACAGAAATATTGAGATAGTGATATAAGAAAGCAATCATGGTGAAAGCTAAAAAAAACAACAACAAAAAAACGGTGTATTCCATTTAGGTCAGAACCAACTTCAGATGGAGTCACCCCACGGAACCCCATCGTAAACCAGGGGCCACCTGTATTTCTGCTCCTTTCCATTCTTACACCTAGTTAGGGCACTGGAGAAACTTCCAGAAACAGAGGCGCAGCCTTGTTGGGGTTGAGCAGTTTATACACAGGAACCTTCTTTGGGCCTCAAACAAATACACCCACACCAGTCTGAACTCACTGCCACGAGTGGATTCTGACTCACAGCCACCCCGTGGAGCAGAGGACAGCTGCCCCTGTGGGTTCTCATGGCTGTGAGGCTTTACAGGCGAAGACTGCCTCACCTTTTCCCAGGGTAGCCACTGGTGGTTTCGAACTGCTGGCCTTAGGTTAGCAGCCCAACGTGTAACCCACTGCGCCACTAATGACTTGAAAGTCAACCACCACCTCTCTAAAGCACAACGGGGGCTATTTCCTTCCCGGATTTGACAACCCCAGGAAAGATATTCCGACATCCGCCCGCTCCTACCTCCCAGGCGAAAAGCCCTGCGTTTGGAACACACAGAAACTGGGTGGGAAGGCCCTGGCTTGGGAGTTTGACGGGCAAGCTCAACGGGAACCCTCTCCCAGGCTATCTTGGAAAGACGCCTCCCGGTTTTCAGCCGAGTCGGGGTGCCGCGAGACACCCCGTGCCCACTCGTGGGAACACTCACGCCCCCAAAGCAGCATTCTGGAAAGGGTGGCGGGTGCCCCGCGTCTGCGCCAATCTCACGGCCTGGCACTTCTTGAAGGTCCCACGAGGCCTATTACAGCCCGGCCGCGCGCGGGGCCTCATGGAGGGTCTCCCTCCGGTTGCCCTCCCGGCGCCCCGCGTTCCCAGAAACGCCGGCCAGCGGGGCTCGCCCC